AAAATAAAATAAAAGATCGTGGAACACGAAAGCAAGCATTCCCTGGGTGCTTCCTTTTATCTCTGCCAACTCCTTCTGGTCCTCAGCTTGCTTTCTCATCTGCCTCTCAGTGTGCCATCCTGGAAGTAGCAATCAGTGCTAATTCCGTGGATATCACGTGGAGAAGGTGAGACCACAGCTGTTCACAAGCTGCAGAAGCTTCAAAACACGTGAGAGGTGGCACTGGCCCTGGGGCTTGAACTGCTACCTTTTGCCCTCTGTTCCTGATATCAGGTTGATAACACAGGGCCTTGGGCATGGAGCAAGGCCTAAGGGGATGGGCTGAGGGCACCACCTTCCCCAGTGTGCTGTGTGTAGCAGTGAGGCTGAGATGAGTGTGCTGGGCTGTCCTCTGGTTGTCTCAGCAAGTGATGAAAACTCAGATAGACTGAGAAGTGGAGCGAGCTGGCGTTTCAGCCTACATCTGAGGTCTGGTGTCTTGGGAATAACTCGCTCCCTTCTCTGCCAGATTTTGGTGTAGAATCATACAGGACTGAATTCAAACATGGCCTCCCAGGTTATTAGGAAGGTACACATTTCAAGTTTTGATGATAGAACTTACTTTATGTAACTGCTAGGTTTTATAAGTAGTGCTTTATGAGTAGACCACAAAAGGCTTTGGGAAAACAAACAACAAGTATAAAGATAATGAGATGTAGTGATGATATGATTTGTATCTAGGTGTCTCTCCAAAGCAAATGTGCTCATAGATGGGGGTTTTGGGAAGTGGTTGGATCATGGGTGTGTGATACTTGGATGAAGGGCATGTGGTACTGGATTAGTCCACTATGGTTTGGTAAAGCTCTGGGTGTGGCTGAATGGATTTGCTGAAGACAGAAACTCCACCTGGGTGTGGATGGCACCAACCAACAAGCTGTAGCCTGGGTGGAATATAAAGGGAAAGGAAGATTCATTGTGCTATGTCAGTTCTCCCTGTCTGCTATGCTATGGATTTTTTCTCCTCTGCAACACCTAACTGCCATGCTGCCCTGCCTTAGAGCCAGCTTACTATGGACTGAAACCTCTGGAAACTGTGAGCTGAAGAAAACTTTCAAGAAGTGAGGATTTCTTCCTTTTTGAAGGTTGAATAGGATTCCTGTGTGTGTGTGTGAGACATTTTCTTTTTCAATTCTTCTGTTCATCTATGGATTATACCCAGATTAGTGGATATAACTGCCAAATAAACAAAAATAAGGACAAACGGAGTTGCACTGAAACAAAAGGTTTCCACACAGCTTAGGAAACAGCTGATAGACTGAAAAGACAGCCTACGGGATGGTCAGTAGGAAGGAAAGAAGGAGGAAAGAAGAGGAAGAGGAAAGAAGAGGAAGAAATCCTCTTCTTTCACTTTGAGTGTCAGGTATTTCATATCAACAATGAGAAAAGTAACAAAGACAGAGGGCTTTCTAGAATGGTCAGACACTTCCACCATAGCTCATTTCAATCTGCTCTGCAATATTACTGAAAGTGAACTTGAGAAGAGATGTGTATAACCAGTTTTTAACTATGTAAGAACTAGCTCCAAAATATTATTGTTCCCAATTTTAAGTTCAGACATGGAATATAGACATCTCAATATATCCTCCCACCCTAGACTTCTGAAATACTTGTGATGGGCTGTTGTGCACAGAAAATAACAGACTACATGCCAGTATATAGCAGACCCTTAATAAATACCGGCTTTCCTCTATAAATGAAGCTGCACCTTATAATGTTGTTGAGTAAATGAAACAGTTCATGTGAAAGTGCCAAATACAATTCTTGACACTTTATATACAACCAATAAATGTTGCTGGAAGAATGAATAACGGACATTCAATAAGGCTTAACTTTTTATTATCATATTTGGGTAAAATTCAAGTATTTTTAGTTTAACCTACTTTTGCATGTTAGTCATTTTCTGCAGTTGTCTTTGGATCAAGACAATCAGACATTTCTCCAAGGGTTTTTCCAGGAAAGCCCTTTTGAGAGGCATCTCATTTTCATAACATTCCCAAGGGAACAGTGGTCACACTATGTTACTCACTTTAGGAAGTTTGGTGAAATTGTCTTTCCTGTCATCTGAGCCTTGGAGAGGAAAGTCGGTACTTTATGTGCTGATACTTACCTTGTCTCTACCACATTCATGCCTGCAATTTAAAGACTCCCACTGCAAATGTCTTATGTCACTTCCACTCAGTTCATAGCCAAACAAGTCAGTGGTCATGTACTCCAGGAGGTAGGAACAGCAGTCCTACTGTGTTCTTGGAAGGAGAAAATCTGAAATATTTTTAAATGGTCATAATGTCTACAGATGCTCATCCAATCACTGGAAATTTTCATATGTTCTCACTGAAAGATGGCAATAATACATACACCAAGGTAAGATTTAGCGGTTAGGCTTTGGGATCCACCCAGGCAAAGTGTGCAGCACACTTGTGAGTGTGGCTGGGTGGGTCGTGGAGGTGTGACCTTGGGTGCTGTTTCTGGCCCCTCAGCCCTTCCTCTCTGGCACTGTTCCTCTGCCCTGCTTCCGAGCCCCTGTGAATCAAGCAGTTTGTTCTGCCTCATCCTTCTGCATAATATTCCTGCTTTGGCTCCTGCTGACTGAGCTCTCTGAAGCTGTAAGCTGTATTAAGCTTCACTTCTTTGAGTCATGGGTGTCAGGAATGGGAAATATATTTCCCAGGGAACACATATTCCATGTGTTTCAGCAATGGGAAAGCTGATGAATGCACATAATGATACCTTAAAATAAAGTGTTTTGAGAATGAGATAATAGGAAACACATTTTAGAACAGTGTCATATTACTAAAGAGTAATGTGGAGTGCTGCTTGTGTTCCCTAAATGCAGTCTTCCTTCTGTCTCCAGAAAGTACAGTAGTAGCAGCTGCCCCATGGTTAGCTACACACGATATTTTACTGTTAGTATGCAGTTTCTCCTATAGATTTTTTTCAACTGCAAGTATACTTTATGAGAGGTGCTACAGTATAGCTAACATTTATTGAATATTTAGGACAGATATTTCAGTCAGCATTTCATGTTTTATTTTATCCAATCTTAATAAAATCCAGTGAGGTAGATGGATGGTACTATTCTTATTTTTACAGACAAGGAAACTGAAACTTAGAAAAGATATGTGACTTGCCCAAATTCACTAAGCTAGTAATTAGCAGGGTTGGGATTAAAATGCAGTTCTGACTTAAAGATCTGAGGTCTTTATCATTAGAGAACAATGGAGAGATTGACCACGACGTTCATTTACTGATTATCCAAGAGGTATGTCAAGGAGCCCACTCTGAACACATCAAGATAATCTTCCTGGAGCTTCCATGCCTTTGAAGAGCACAGATGATGCATAAATAAATGGACAGAGGCTGTCGGTGTAGCTCAGTGGTAGAGACACCCCTAGTAAGCATGAGGCTCTGGTTCAATCCCCAGTAATGAGTGGGGATTGATTTAAAAAGTCTGTCTGGATATTCCTCCTCCAATGCCTACCTGTTTAACGACTGTTTAAACTTATGACCTGTCACTTGTACTTAACAACCCATCTATTTTTTTGGTATAATTCTGTGCATCTTGTTTATAGAAGCTCACTGTATTTTTGTACAGTATACCATGTTTACACAGCACTGTAATTTTTGCTGATTGTACTGTATAGTACAGCATTATAGTTTTATGGTCTGTGTTATAGTATTGCATGTATGAGTTATGCAAATAAGAGCAAAGTCATCAAATTGGAGTTTCCTCTGACTGTTTCTTTGTTCTGAAATTGTAAGGTACACACTGTATACAGTTTCTCATTCAGTTACCAATTCAACTAACGACCTAGTTGTAGGAATGAGGCTCTGTTGTTTAACAAAGAGTGTCTGTAAACAAATTAAGATATTTTAGTTAGTGAAAAGTTGTGAAAAATATTAAACAAGGTAGTAGGATGGACAGAAAGGTGAAGAAAAACTATCAGTTAATCAGGGAAATGATTTTTTTTTTTAACATGAAGAAAACGTTCAAGCTGAGAGTTGAATGAAGAGGAGTCCATCTTGGGAGAAGGTGAAAAATGTCCGAGCAGAACAGCAGGTCTGGAAGATAGGAACATTCCTGGCAAGGAAAAGAGGAATGTGGCTCGGTGGAGACAAGGGAAGCTGGGTGCGCTGGAGGAACACAGCCCGCTATAGATGGCCATGGTGATGAAGGAGAGAAAGGAAAAGGTGTGGTTAAACAGACAGGAAAAAATCAAATCATTCAGGGGCCAGGAGATGCAAGAAGAGGGGGCCAATATCCACTTGTGGCTTAAAGTAAACTGTGAGTTATGGGTTGGATCTAAATTGTCCCCTAAACTCTCATGTGTTAGGAAGGTGACTGGAGTGTAGGGGGGCTGTATTCATCAGTGGGACGTGCTGTTAGCAGAGGGGCCTGACTGGAGGGCCAGATTGCTGGGGGTGTGACCGGGAAAGGTGTATTCCTGTCCTTAGTTCCCTTCTCTGTCTGCTTCACAGCCGCCATGATGTGAGCAGCTTTCCTCCTCCAGACCCATCGTGCAACTTTTGCCTTGGAGCCTGCCAGTCATGGATCAACTCCCCTGAAACAGTGAGCCGCAATACACCTCACCTTCAGTTGTGGGTGTCAGGTGCTTTGTCCCAGGAATAGGAAAGCTGACTACTACTAGGTGTAAGAAGGGGAAGGTGCTGACTGGGAAGCTAGACCTTTTCTTTCTCATACTTCTTTTCAAGAGTTAGCCCTGCTCCAGTTTACTCTTAACTTTCCCTCTCCCCAAGACCTGGTGACATGCAGATTTAGTTTTAGACAGGCAAACCATCACGTTCTTTAAGCACCATTGAACACAAGGCAGAGGTTTTCTGTAGTACAGACTGCAAATATGTCAAGTGTTCATTATCACAAACAGCTGGACCTCAACCCCCTTCCTCATCTCAAGAGGTAATGTTTAGAATTTTCTATGGCCAAAAAGATATGTGATAAACTGTGGCTGGCTAAGGTTAACTCAGAGCCCTGGAAATGCAAAAGAGCAAACTTATTTTTGAGTTTGTGGACATAACCTGATGTTTTTCTCTTAATGATTACCAAATGGTTTCCAAATCACGGTAACATTGGTCCAAATACGATGTAGGTCCAGCTTAAACATAATTGGTCTCTTCTGAGCCTCAGAACAAAGGCTCAAGGGATTCAGACGATGCAACATGTTCCTCATTCTTTGGAGAAATACCCAAAGGACTCTTTTTAAAAATATTTTTATTAACATATATTAATTTTACAAAACAGTGGATATTTTCATAAATGTACTTTACATAGTTGGATCAGATCTGTCTGCCAAGGCCCTCTCCCGAATCCTCCTCCACCTCCCTGGACTCCCTCCCACTTGTTTGCTAACAGTCTCAGGGGATTATTCTTGCTGTTTCCTATCTTCCCTACGTGAACCTCCGCAAAAAGCCAGCAGTCAAGTACATTCAACAAAGCACCAGATTATTCCCTCCGCTGACTCACTGTTTAACTCACGAAGCTCTCTCCAGGCTGTCTTGTGCTTTCAAGGTGTTCATTGGGCACCGCAACAAAAGACTGGCACAAAGGCCTGGGCCAGATTCAACAAGACAGCAGAGAAGAGGAATTTTAGTTCTGACCGGTCGAAAACATATTCCACAGTGAGAACTTCGCAGGAGCGTGGCCCACTGCAGGAAGCTCTGTGGGCAAACTTGAATTTAGGGAAGTATGTTCATGTCTTTGGCTCCCTTGAAACTAGATCCTGAATCTCACACCATTTCCATATCCAGATATGTGTATAAAGGGAAGCTCTGTGGGCAAACTTGAATTTAGGGAAATATGTTGGTGTCTTTGGCTCCCTTGAAACTAGATCCTGAATCTCACACCATTTCCATATCCAGATGTGTGTATAATGCCTTGTCTCTCATGATCCTGCCCAGGATGTCTGCGGTGTCGGCATAGAGAAGGTTTCTTCTTGTGTAGTGCTTGATTTGGACAGTGGAGAAGGGAGTGGCACATTTCACAGGCGGAATGTGGGGAAGGGTGACTTGTGGGTTAGTTTGTCTAGCCAGATGGCAGTTCCTAGAAATACTGTAGGCTTTCCTAATTTAGAAAATTAATGACATTGAGTATCAAAACCCACTAAAAGGTGCTCCACCCAGACATGAGTACTTCATTTGTAAATGGAGGAGTGAATTTTAATTTTGAGATGCTTTTAGATACAGTAACATCCCAATGGAAATGTTATTTTGTGCTCTTAATAAACTAGGATGGTTAGAGTGGCCTATAAATGGTTTTAAGGATGGTAAACATAGTCTGGGATGGAGTAGGCACATACATGGAAGCCTGAAGTTCATTTGTCTTATTTCATCCTCTTAATTTTTAAGAGGATTATTATTATTTTCTATCAATAGATGTAGTTGAACATAGTTTTCATTTTATAACTTACTGTACTTGGAATTACTGAGTTAAATATCATTAGTGATAAATGCCTGACAACCAAGGATTGTGACATTTCACGTGAGTATAGCCATTTACTTATTTTATCAGTGATGTTAGAAATAAAAGAAATCCAATGGGAAATATGACCACATAATTCCAGACAATGAGGAACATTCCTTTATATTTGAACAAACATTTTTACTTCTATCACTTTCTTTTATTTCAAAACATTACACAATTGTTTGGTTTTGAACAATCAATATAGAAGTACGTAAATTATACAAAGCTCTGGCTCTCTGCTAGCTTGTCCAAGAGAATTATGGTAGCAGTTTGAGGGCTATTTTTCCACATTTGAATGTTTATATAGACTTGCATAAAAATATGCCACATAACACATGGATTTATATGTGAAGCATATGTATGCTTGTGTGTAAGAATTCAAATCATTTGTACATAGTCTTACACTTACATTTTACTTATATTGTGGAGGCTTTCACATGCAGGTACACATAAGAATACCATGCTGTTTTTAAAGATATATATAGTTGATACATAATTGTACATGCTTATGGGATACAGTGTACTAGTTTGATCAATGAATGCAATGTGCAATGCCCAAGTCAGGGTACCCAGCATTTCCATCCTTAAACATTTGTCATTTCTTTGTATCGAGAGCCTTTGACCTCTCTTTCATTTCACTGTAAGACTAAAGTTGTAAATTATACTCATCTTTCCTTCTTTCCTCCCCTCCTCTTCCTTCCTTCCTTCCTTTCTTTTTTCTTCCTTCTTCCCTTCCTCCTTTCCTTCCTATTTTTGTGGTCATGAAGTTTAAACCCATGCCTTGACCTTGCAAGACAAGTGCTCTACCACTGAGCTACATTTCCAGCCATTTTTTTATTTTAAAGAGAATTAGAAAAAATGAACAATAAAAATGATACAGAATTTCAAAGCAAGATGATAGGAAATTAACAATGGTTATTATATTGCAAATTGTTATCTTCAAAGTAGTTGCTCAGGTTAGTAGATATAGGCATGTAAAATTCATCAAACAATATAAGCACTAACTGTTCCTTTTAATGAAATAATAGAAATTAGTAGTACAGTTACATTAGCTATCTTGTGTATATATACATATTTTTTCCCTTCTTTTTTTTTCTCCTTTCCCTGTCCCAGTTGTCCTTTCCTTTTGAGCAGTTTCTTTCCTTTTCACAGTATCTAATGTACCTTTTGGATTTTATTTACTCTTTTAGGTTCTTATGCTATGTAGAGAATATGATGTTTACACATGTGGATCTGATTTATTTCACTTCTGAGTATGGTCTCTAGTTGCATCCATTTACCTATAAAAGCCTCGAGTTTATCCTTCTTTATAGCTGAGTAGTACTCCACAATATCTCTCTCATAGTCACTCAAGCTGCCTTTGAAGTTCCAGTCCTCCCCCTTCAGCCCCATTTGCAGCTGGGGTTATGCCCAGACAATGTTATTTTTAAGTGCTGATATTAAATGAGTGAGGTTTTATTTTTTTGCCCATTGTTCTGGTAATGTTTTAGAAAAGATTGTGAAACTTACCATTAGTAAGACATGGAGAAATAAGCTCTCATATCTATAAATAAGCTCTCATAGCTATAAAAGGGGGCTATAAATATGGATGGTGTAAACAGTTACAGTACCTTTCCAAGGAATTAATCAGAATGCTCCAGAGAAACAGGGCCAATTAGATACACAGAATATACAAGGGGAGATTTATCATGGGAATTGGCTCACTTAATTACTGATGCCAAGAAGTCCTGTGACAGGCTGTCTACAGCTGGAGGACTACAAAAACCAGTGTTATTGTTCAGTCCAAGGTCAAAGTCTTTATTTTAAAATTTTTTTATATTTTTGGGTTTTCTTGTGGGGGTGATTTGGAGAAAGGGTCTTGCTCTTAGTCCAGGCTGGCCTTGAGCTCACCTCTATCCTCCTGCCTCAGTGTCCCGAGTGCTGGGATTACAGGCGTGCACCACCACACTCAGCAAATCAAAAACTTCAAAACTGAGTTGGGGCTGGGGTGGAGCAGCTGGTGTAAGTCTCAGAGCCTGAAGGCTCAGGAACAAGGAACTGCAGAGCCTGAGGGCAGAAGAAGGAGGTGGACACTGAAGTTCAAGGAGAGAGACAGAGTGATTGTAGTGGTTAATTGATTGTGTCAACTTGAGAGGTTTGGAACCTTAACTAAATTTGGCTCAGCAATTGGCTCAGCAATTCCATACCCTAAGGTGCAGAGGAATCACCCTAGGGTGGATCATCACCTAGAAGATATAAAAGGCAAATAAGGAAGGAGAGAGGGACTTCCATTCTTTGGAGGAGCTCCAGTCTTCACCTTCAGCTTGGACGTTGTCTCCTGGCTTCTAGTGCAGACTGTTCGGCTTCTGCCTTGGATCCTTCAGCCTTCCGGTGTAGATTCATCAGCCTTCCACTGCAGAGCCATCGGCCTCCTGATATGGATTTGCATCGAGCACTGCAGTGAACTCCAGACCATGGACTGAATCCTTCAGTTTCCTGTGTGCAGACACCCTCTGCATGCTTCCTCATCCAACTCGTTGGCTGACCATTGTACGCCAATCTTGCAATTTCTTGTACATGTGTATATCTTGTGTTATATCTGTTTCTCTAGGAAAACCCTGACTGACACACACACACACACAGAGGACAGGAGAGAGGTCTTGTTTCTGCCTTTTTGTTCTACACAAACAGACTGATTCCCACCCACATCGGTGAGCACAGATCTTCACCCAGTCTCAGCAATCTGGGCATTTTTTAGTCCAGCCAAGCCGACACATAGAATTAACCACCACAGGCTGAATGTAACCAAGTTCCATATGCCATGGCTTTGGCCCAGAAATTCCTCTTATAGTTGCTTTTAGCTGATAGAAATAACATATCATATTTATACTGATGTGTGCAAAAAAGTGTTCATTGCTGTGCTCTTTTAATTAAAAAATGAAAATATAAACAACCTGTTCCTATTAACTCTGTAGGCTGACTGTGTTATTCTGCATCTCTGCATATTTACAGCATGCAGACTGGCTGGCTGAGTTCCAGCTGTTGCAGATTGGACTCGGCTGAGCTGTGAGTTCAGTTTATGTCCTCCTTCTTTGTCTTCTTGGGTCAGTACC